TCGGTCGGGGACTGCATAAACACTCTCTATCCCCCCCCCCCCTTCTCATCCTTCTTCCCTCTTTCTCTTCTTTAATTTCTTTCCGATCATACAAAGATCTCTTCATTTATTTATTTTCTGCCACAAAGTGTTGGCAGGCAACCCAGGCTACAGTAACAGTACAGTAACTCGTTGGAATAGTTTACGACCGATGAGGGCGTGAAACCGTACATATCTGTATGATAATTAATTATATGACCTTAGTTTATAGAATAATTTTTCATTCAAACGCAGTCCACATAAACTAGATACAATATTGGATGATGATTTGTGAATCGCATTAAAAAACAAGAGATTATACAAAATTAATATGAAAAAAAATATTTTTACGAAAAATGTAGTCCATATCCTAATGACTAAAATTATGACAAAAAAAATCAATCTTCAGTTCTTCATAATTCTGATGAGGCCATATAGAATACAATTGATCAAGGACCTGGAATGGATCAGAAAGTTCTCCGCTATTAAAGAACAGACCGAGAATCTAAACCTGCAAGAAAAACAATATAAGAAAAAAGGAAAACCAAGACTTGTATGTGATAAAATTTCGATTTACAAGTACTGTAATGCCAGCGATTCATAGTAGAAGACATTCATTTTTATATCTGGAGGGTATTATTTCTGTCATTGAAAGTTGTAAAACATATAGCAGATGGGATCCTCGGAGAGTCAATGGCCAATTTGATTAAGGAGTTAATTTTTAGGGCCGCTTAACCATTTGGGGGGGGGGGGTTGGGAAGCCATCTTTATAAAAACCAGTACCGTACTCGCGCGAATAAGCGCCTCGTTTGAATAAGGGCTCCTCTCGAATAAAGGTGAAGATTTCCTTAAGCGCCCCGTTTGAATAATATCATTAAATTTTCTTTTTAGCAAGTCAATAATCCAATATCCTAGGACTGTGGTTGTTGGCATGATCTGAGCTGCAGAGTGGAATCACATTCTTCTTAGGTCAATATCAAAATGAGGATATTTCTCTTGGACAGATGAGAGCTTCCATCCCTGGACAGACAGTATATTTCCTACTTTTCTTATTACATATTTTTTAGGCCTAGTCCTGCTCCTCTTCTTTTTCATCTGAGTTTTCAAGAAAACCTACAACGATCCTGCCATCCCGCTCTATCGGCCGATGACCAACAAGCTAACCACTACCCACTAACACTAATTGCATCTGCTATTCTCCAAATATTCACAGCATTCTTGTCTGGACGATTATCTTTTACGTCGCACCACCATTCGCAATGTCCTTATATATAATCTTTTTTTATTCCAAAAGTGCCTCTTGAATTTAATAAGTTCCCATAAGAACCCCTCGATTTTCATCTATTTCCATAAGCGATCCTTCAATTTCCATTAGGTTTTCATAAGCGTCCCGTCTGATTAAGCGCCCCTCAGAAAGTGCAAACAATTTTAAGTGCCCGGGCGCTTATTCGCGCGAGTACGGTATTGCTATATTCGAACACAGAAGTTGTGATAATATTATCCTGTTTTTTAAAAAGATGTCCACGTTGCCATTTTTGTAGTTCTATGTTTAGAGGAACAAAATGTAATACTAATAGAGCCAATATAACGAACCTCGAATGCTGAAGTTTTGCTTTTAATAAAACACATTAAAAGCAGAAATTTAATCATTTTAACATTGAATTCCTTTGACTTAATTCTAAAAAAGATTTGCATTCGTAATGAATTTCAATGAAGTCTATGCTCACATACATCGCCTTAAGCAAGACTGTATAAAAACAATAACAACGTACCTTGGAGTTCTCTTGGGTTTACTTCAACTTCTGCAATGATGTCTAGAGAATTTGTATTATATGTTGAAACAATCGGAAGTACCCTTCCTTAAGGAACAATAGGCTGTTATAAAGGGTGACCTATCCAGGCGACATTTAACGGAAGTCCGGAGTCTTTCCTATATTATTGTAGTCAAAGTACCATTTCTCATTGGGCTCACAGAAAACAATTTGTCAGTCTTCACAATTCAATCAAAACTGCGTACATTGCGTCCCTGAACTGACGTCCGCAAAATTAACCATTTAGATTAAATTGTTCATAGTAAACCTAGCTGGTAATTTCACCAGGTTTCTCTACTGGTCTAATACAAATATTTATAACACAATCATGACTGAAGTAGGGCCTAATGTCTCACTTCCCGGATCTAAATTTACCTGGGTTATTAACTTTAATTTGATAAAGCACCTTAGGCCTACTATAGTTATCCTGTTGCGTCGTCACAAGGGTGGGGATTCTCGGTGGTTCGAGATTCATTTTGAAAGGAAGGGGTAATGAGGTACGTTGGCAGAACCTGACACCAGGGGGTATCGGGTCCTATATCCCTGCCCGGTCCCCACTCAGTGGTGGCGCCAAGAATAACAGAATAAGGATGTCATGTCAAATTAATGAAAAACTGGAAAAGAAAGGTCTTTAGCTTGGATTTGAAAAAGTTTAGTAACACTGTCTGATGGAGATGGAGAAAACAGTGGGCGTGGTCTGGTGTCGATCAAAATCTCCCGAAAGTGCTCCAGGGGGAAAAGTCCGAAAAATATAACAATAATTAGGGGTTTCAAAGGCTTATTTAATCGATTTTGGAGTCTAATATGTGGGAAATACATAGGCCTATACATTTTTTTCTCCCCGACAAATTGTGGTTTTTCCGGAGGGACAGCTCTCTCCCCTCCCCCACCCCTGGCGCCGTCCCTACCCCACTGAAAATTACGTACAAGAGGTAGTAGAAATTCATCCCATATCATCTTATAGGGTGATAGCACCCTTAGTCACTTAATCATAACCCACCCACCTGAAATGAAACAATGAAATACATGAAAAACAACCGACCATGGAGAATTATGTTGATTAATATACGCTATTTTCTCCATGTTGTTTTTCATTTATCAGGCATCAAGATTGTAATTTCCTAGATCACTTTTATGACAATAAAAGCTTATCTTATCTTCATGAAATTAAATCCACCAATCTATTATTATTATTATTTATTATTTATTATTATTATTATTATTATTATTATTATTATTATTATTATTTATTATTATTATTTACCCCATACTACAATACAAACAAATTAAACTCAAACAGTCCTTCCTAATAAGAACAACATAATAAACAAAATAGTACAAGGCGTGACATAAAGGCTAGCTCAGTTTCCTTTCAACATTCAGTATTGAAACATTATTTATTTTTCATAAAGATCAAAAAATACTGTAAACAAAATAAAAAGCATTGAAAAAAGTGAAGGGTAGTGTTCCAAAAGGGATCGTGTTAGGCCGCAATTTATTTTATTGAAATACTATACGGTGATTGTCTTTAGAAACGACACGGTGTTGTGTGTGTAGACACCGCTCTGTGCCCTGCTGAGAGGATTTTCACTGTACTTTATTCTGGGTAGTGTTTTTACAGTACAAAAAACAACGAAATTATTCTTTACACTATCGGATTATCTAATTACTAAGGTATTTATTTTAATTATTTAATAAGTAATGTATAGTAGGTAGATGTTAGTTTACTATTTATGTGATTATGAATAGGTCTCCTGCTTCTCTGGATTATTTACAATAAGAAACAAAGCACACCTTTGAGGGACTCGTTAGTTTGATGTTTTTGTCTGTCGCTGTTGAAGGGTAGGCTAGGCCTAGGCCTAACTCTATCATAATTATCATCATCAACATGTCATGCACTTGGCAGTGAATTTGGTAGGCCTAAAGGTAAGGAAGGTAGCCATGGTGATGTGTGATGGTTCAGATATTACAAACCATTCTGAAGTTGCCTTGTATACTGGACACATTGACATTGTTGAAGTTCACATTCAGCTCACACACAGAACGACGTGGTTCCGTTTTCCGAAATAAACTACTACTAGGCCTAGGGCTAGGCCTAGCCTAGTACTGCTACTATTAGCTAGGTCAGGGCCTAGCCTAACCCTAGAGACTAGAGTAGGTTAAGTTTAGCCTTTAGTGCCTACAGGCCTAAGTCACGCATTTTGGTGTACACCTATGACTTGCTTTTGAATGATTTTCTATTTTTTCCTTCAATTTGTCATGTCATGTTCTGAATTTTGTTTAGTTGTCAATTTATATGCTGTTTCTTATAATTATATTATTCAGCTTGTGCTGCAATATGCATTTTATTGCATAAGATGGAATAAATATACCTCAGTGTGTCGTCATGCTATTAAAAGTTTTTTTTACAAAAATTGTTTTAAAAAAAAGACCCACAAAATATAACAGTCAACACCCACTGCATTCCCACCCACTGCATCCCCATTTCTCCCCACAACCCATGCCTATCTATATGACCACGATGATTCTACTTTCCGATGAGAAGAAAGTCAGGCAGCTACCCATCAACAGAAGAATAGTAAAATAGTATCAAATAGTGCAATTCGATTACAATGTGCATGAGCTACCCTTGAACAGTTTGCAAATTGTACATGCATTTTAAAACTGTGCAACGATCTCCTTGTACAGTTTGTAAACTGTGCAGAATCTTGCAGAGTTTTCAAATTGTGCAAAGAAATCCTTGCACAGTTTTCAAATTGTGCAAGACTTCCTTGCACAGTCTGTATTGCAATCAAGACCTTGCACCATTTGCAAATTGTGCAAATGTCTCAAGCTGTGCATGATATTAATAAGATTAATGCAAGGTATGTTGTTATTGTACTCCATTCCAGTACCTTGATTTAGGATCTCGCATGCATCTTATACTGGCCGTTCCATGGCAGTAACTTTTTTGGCCTACAGTATAATGACTTGCACAAATGATTTACTTTAAGACATGCAGTGTTGCTGTTGTGATGAAACAGTACTTGAAAATAAGAATGAATTGTTCAAGCTATTTATAGTATTATTATAAAATGGAAACATAAGAGGTTTTGAAAAATTAAAGAACAGGATCATGAGAGCCACTTAGCCTCAGTCAGCTAAACTGGTGTTGGTAGTACAGTACTTCCAGACATATAGTCCCAAGGTGCTCTTATTCCACTGCTGCACCATTGTGTTTTATTTAGCTAGAGGGCTAAAGTCCAAGTTTACAATGTAGCGCATCAACTTTCAAATGGGATGTTCAAGTCGTTGGCCTGTGTGCTATTGGCTATGACTTTTATGAATAACGCTTAAGAAAATAGCAGAGAATTGCAAAGCCCCCACTGAAATTAAGTTTTACATTTTTTTTGTGCTTATTCTTTGTGTGTTTCCTCAGAAAAATTCAATCCAAACCGTCTATATTAATCGACCAAAATTGTATTAGAAGGAATAGAAGGGGAGAGTGGGGCTAGTTGGAAAAAAAATTACAAAAATGTCCATATAATTCTATAACTCTTTATCCAAGAAATGAACTATATCAGTAGAAGCACATACATACTCTACAGCCAAAAAAATGTTTAGATTTGTTGATGATCGCTCAGATAAGTAACATACTGTAGGAACACGTGCCCTCGGATGTTCCGATTTACCCCACCTATGGGGTTAGTTGAAAGATAGTGTTGAAATAGTGAAATAGTGTTTTAAGTATTAACAAGCTTTTAAAACTAACTAGGTTATGCATGGAGTAATAAATGTGAAATTTGGGTCTAAAAATGCTATAAATCAAAAAAGTATGCAGCAAAACATTGCGTCTTAGTCTGGGTTGGTCTACAATGCATTAGTTGGGTTATAGGACTATTTAGGTAAATTCAGTGGTTGGGGTGGTCACCAGAAATGAGGGTGGTTTGATAGACAAGGGGATTTGCCTGAACCATAAAACCCCCCTGGCTACAGGCCTATATTTTATACCCTGAAGTTTTATATTGGAGTTATGTAGTTGGAACATGTTCTTATACCAAAAAGTATTATATTAGGGTTAGTTGGAACATGTTCCAACTAACCCCTAAAGTAAAATTCCAACAAGCCCCAAGCGCTTGTGGTGCTTGCAAACATGCTTCACTAAACAGAACAATCAGTAACATGTATAGTTAGCCTTATTTTGTAGCTTTGTACTAGAGCCTAAAATACTCATAAACTATTGAACCTAATCTGTGAACATCATTAAGATATTGCAAAATTTTTTCATTATGAAGAATTTACTTAGAAATTAAAAAAACACATATACCTCCCACAAATTAACAGTGTTGTATCACCAGTCCTATAGTCAATGTGGTGGATGGCTATGATTATTATTACCTACCATTAGGTGGTTGTGAACTAACAAATTTATTTTATGTACTGTATGTCCCAAAATGTCACTGTTTCAACAAACCCTGCGTTCAAACTAACCCACTCTCCCCTATCATGAATTAATTTCAAATGAAGGATTTTGAAGACTGCACAAAGAATTGAACAAACAAGGTAGAAGACATATACTGTACCATAGACCCATTCTTAGCTTATCCACCCCGTGAACACAAAACAAAGCAGGATTTATAAAACTCAATACTGTACAATGTAACTGAAATTTGAGTACATTATTACTGTATACAGTGTACAACAATTTTTTTTTCTTCAAAAACGAAATTGTGTAACTTTGCAAAGGCTTTATATGCTGTTATTATATTTTTATCTACAGCAGAAAAATCTGGGTTACAAAATGCCTGCCACCCAATGTTCACATCAAGTAAAACCTTTGCGAGTCATGAGTGTCTTCTGGAATTTGGGATTGCCTCCCACACTCGCCCGTGCAAGCAAAATTTTCCCAGAAAAATAAAAATGGTTTTACTACTGTAGACAGTGGCAGATTCAAGGGGGGGGGGGGCAGCCGGCCCGGGGCCCCCTAAAAATTTTTCAAAATTGAGGAAAAAAAAGACAATTCTAAGTCAAATTTTGAGTCTAAGAGTGCCATTTCTGGCCTCTAGAGGTGCCATAATTATAAATGTTCTTCCATCAGCCCCAACCATGGTGGGGCTGAGGTAGTATACTGTAGAACCTCCATCTGGGATAGTTCCTTTCTGGGCCCCCTCTATTTAAAATTCCTGGATCCGCCACTGGTATAGATACTGTACTGTATTATCAATTGTCACTCTGAAAGTCGGCTGGTCATGGATGGTATGGTACCACAATTCATTGCTACACCAATGAATAAGTTAGACCTGTTAAGAAAGCTCATTTAACCAGATCACCTGGAAGTGACTTCTCCCAAATTGAAACCCCTGGAAACACGCAGTCTATAGCAATTATTCTAAAGCAGAATCTTTGATAAAACAGATTCTAATCACCATTCACTGTGTCCCAACTTTGGTACTTTTGTTGATATTGCCAGCGGCAATGACATCTAGAAAGTAACATTATTTTATTGAATGAGATTTTATCTTAGAAAACAGGTGACACATTATGAGAAGGACTGATTGATTTTGAATGAGACACCTAAGAATAATAATGTTTTCCAGGAGGGAACAAATGAATTATGGTATTGTTTATTCTACCATAGTGTTGTGTTATATTGATAGAAAACACATTGAGTGTGTGTTGACTATTTTTTATAAAAATGTTTTAATGGCAAATATGATGTTATCTTTTATTTTTTATAGCATAGATTTTTGTAGCCTCTAACCTTCAAGGTCATTTGTTCAATCAGAGTTCAAGGTGCTGTAGATTCACTTGGCAGAGATTAATGGATTTATGATCCCCTGGTTCAGTACATTACATTTTATATTAGGTTTGCTACACACTTGTTCATTATTCAATATCTCTAAACACTCTGAATATTTAATATTTTATGGGAAACAACAAAACTTAGATGAAGAGAAGTCTTGAAATTTTATTAATGTTGATTTCCTCTACTGTACTGTAGGCCTACACTGTACAGTCAAATGAGATTATGAATTGTACAGTATTGATTGTAAAAAGCATCATCTGGCCATCATCATCATCACCATTGTCGTCGCCGTCATCATTATCGTCATCATCATGAGTACCTGGCCATCATCAATTTCATCATCATCATCAGTATTATCATCATCTATTATCATCATCATCATGTGTCATACCATCATCATCACCATCATCATCATCAGTGTCAGTGTCATCTTTCATTATTTATACCATGTACAGTAATATAGTGAGACTTATTAGTAGTGCATTAACAGTGTTAGTGCACTTTATACAGTAAAGAAAGAAAGGTGGTGATGAAACAAATTGCTGAAATTATAACCATAAACTGCAGTATACCAATCCTATTGTAAACAAAAAATCATCATCGTAATTATTAACAAATTTCCATATTCTGTTCACTGTTGGGTGGCAACCTTCACAAGTAAGTACCACTCTCCAATCTTTGGCCTAACTGTCATCCACCAAATAGCTTTAAATGTTGATTCATAACCCATATCTATTATTAATAATTGTTATAGTAAAATATGCCATGATTGATAATTGATATGGTGAACTACAAATATTTATTGTGTACAGAGTTTATTAGAATTATGCTGTTCACACCCAACAGGAAATAGCCATATAATAAGGAATTATTATCTGTACAATTTAATAAATTTGCTCATTTTTAATTAGCAATTTTAACACATTTTTGCTATTAAAGCAGATATCACATTTGATTTTATGGAAATAAATAATAGATTTGAAGGTCAAAGTAAGCATTTTACCATAAATCAGTTATTTGTGCATGTCTTCCTTTAATTGTTGAACATAAATTGTTCATTATTTAATGACGATTACACATTACACTTGAGATTGGGCAAGTTTTCTCTAGATGTACAGTACAATACTGTGCAGTTTTTCCACCTGTCTGTCCCTGTTTTGTTACCAACGTGTGTTCTGTACATAGTAACTGATGATACAATAAATAATATTTTGCAAAGGTGTAGTATAGTAATTATTATTGATCAATACCTTTTTGTGTATTATTTATGTAGTGCTAGCTACCTTACAATGAAGGCTGTTTGTTTCCGTCAAGCTGACCCTAAAGCCGTCCAGGTACTGTGGGAAGCCATCACAAATGTCCGCCAACAAAAGCAAGTGGCTAACCTGGAACGTATCGCACGATATCTGATAAGGCAGCATGGCTACGCCTATAAATATGTCCAGCAACAACTTGCACTTGCTGTTAAAGATGAACTGGTTGTCAAAGATATCTCGCGTTCAAAAAAGGGTTCTCGTGCAGGCTCAGAACAAGAAGGGTTCTGGTGTGTTAAAGCACAGGAGGAAGAGGTAAGTTCATATTTCTTTAATAAGTAATGTTTCTGTAATTTTGGAAGCTGTTTAAGGCTTGGTTTTCTAACAATGCAGCCTGGTCACGATGCTTGTTTTATGGGTATCATTATGATTCTTCTATACAGTACATATGTATTGAAATATAGTATGTGATGGTCATAATAGTCTTGCTAATTAAGTACAGTATTGTAATCAACCATTACTGTACCTTGGTTGGATGTGAATTATTTTATGTTGATTAATTGTTGAATTTATTGAGTCAAATTTAAAGGTTTTCACATTTTTATAGAAGATGTTACCTTTGTGATATATGAATTATTTATTGATTATTATTATTTTTTGCTGCTTTTTATTTGATTTGTAAACAAATGTGAATAAATTACTGTAAATAAAAAGATGTTCAATTTTCATTATTATACATCTAAAGACAGTAATGGAAATTTAATATAAAGTATGTTAAGATGTTTTGAATATTTGGTTATATTTACGCTGTATAAACCTATTCTAGTTATATGTTGCTATAATAAATATTGTAATTAATTATGATGAAAAGTTGTAGAATTGTAAAATATTTTGAGACATGAAAAATATTAAAATTATGAAATTGTTATTGAAATTTAATTGTAGAGTGACGCTAGCCATGATTGGTACTGTATAGAATGCCACAAGGGTGGGGATGTGGTTTGTTGTTCCAGTTGCCACAGGGTGTGTCACATTGAATGTCTGGCAGAAGAAGACCAGGAGAAGCAAGAGTGGACGTGTCAGGTTTGTCAAGTGAGTATTCTTTCAGTTCATTTGTACAAAGATAATGCATGCAGATTAGTCTGACATGAGTGATGTTGACTGCCATCGTAAAAAAAAAAAATTGATGCTGTACTTACAATAATTTATAATGGTCAATGGCCTAGTGTATACCTTTTATGCTTAACTATACTCTGTAAGAAGAAGTAATGGAAATAAGTCGCAATAATATCAGACAAAATAATGTTCTTTACTATTGAGTGGATGCAGTAGGTGGTACAGTAGAGGGCCTTAGCCGTCAAAAGTTCATCTGTTTGTCTTACAAGTTCAAGCGGCAACTAGCAGGATCTAGGAGGAAAGCCCTGAATGGGGCCTATGGAGCTAAGCCATTTGATACTGGCCTGTTTAGGTCATTTTTAGCTCTTGTGCATCATTTTAGCATGTAATATGACCAACACTTTTTCCTCTGTTTTTTTTTTCGTCCAATGAATTTTGACAGGTAAAGGGCTTGACACTTTGCCCTAATCTTGGCATCACCACTGAATATGTGGCAAATTAATGTATAACATTAATTATTTACCACTGTGTGCTAATGACTGACATATTTTTTATTATTATTATTATAGTTACTGTATTTATACGAAATGTATGTTATAAATGCATTGAAATTTTTAATTGTCTCTTAATACGGTAAATACTGTACATTTGAGAACAACAAATCCCACTGATCTTGGTCCTTTGGGAAATTATGATGAGTCTTGGGTTGCAGAAACCTCTTCAGGATATTTTTTTCCAAAACCTTTATTTAACAATAACATTAATTTGCAGTAAAATCTAAAGAAAACATAAAAATATTGAATTGCCTTTAGGATTAACTAAATTAACAACTTTCAATGAGAAGCAGATTAAAACACTTCAGTTTCTGGTGATTTACACACATTTACCTCCATTGAAAGAGGGTCGGTTATGTATTCACTGCTGCCTGTCTGTCTGTTAGAAAGATGCAAAAACTAATGAATGGATCATCATAAAATTTATGGTACATATTAATTAAAGAAAGACACACTTCAGTTTTTGGAAGAAAAGTTAAAAAAACAAGGCCAAAATCACAGAAATTCAATTTTTTACCTCTGACCATAAAAAAATAAATGAATCACTCCTTGTATTCATGCACAGGCCAAAGGTATGATGTCCCTGAATACAATGAGCGATTCCATTTTCTTGAGGGTACTGTATGCTGCAGCAGCCTGAATGCCTTACCATGGACAGCCTGCGTATTCTTTGGTATTGAGCCACCTTGTGGAAAATAATGCAATCGCTCATCATATACAATACAAGGCCTGCATATTGTTGGTATTTAGTCACAGGGTGGAGATATGCACTCTATGAAGTGATGACTGCTTTAGTTTACTATGTACACTATTGTAAGACTTGCACAGACTACCTACCAGCCAATATACTGTGTTAGGGTTAATGCAAATAATATAGTAATAATACAGTATGTATTATTTATGCATCCGTTGATTGGCACAGAATATTTTTGCAATTGAATGCTATTCATTAATTTAAATACATTATTCAGAGTAATCAATTCAATATAACATTTTGTTTAAGTATACTAATTGGCTCAAAACACACAATTTTGTTTATATTAATGTTTTATGTGGGATAATTGCCCGTACCCTTTTTGCATAGAATTTTTTTCTACATTCAATTTATAGACTATTAGAAGCAATTGTTTTGGTATTTGCACAATACAAATACCAGCAATTTATACAGTAGGTTTGATGGATTGAATGATTGATTTAATATTTTACTGTTATACCAAATAAATAATAATATCAGTGTTTTTGTTTTTTTTAGGGAGGAAAGAAATGCAAACTTGGACTCAGCAAATCAGAAATAAGCGACATGATTTCACATGTGCTGGCAAGAATGAAAGAAAAGGTGAGCACATGTTAGAATTTATGTTAGAAACTATTCAACCAAAGATCAAATAGGTACTGAATATGCATTAACAATGTTATAATATTTCTTATTATTATGTTTTATTATTATTGTTAATCTTTATTCATTGTCATTATTTTGTTTTCTTAATTCATCATTATTATTTGTAGGATTGATTATATATTACTATTATTTTTATTATTTATATGCTAATTATAAAATCCTTACACTATAAAAATATAATATTCAATATTGTACTTATAAGCTGTTTATAAAATCCTTCACAGTATTGAAATATTATTCAGTATTAAATCATTAAATATCCTAAAGTATGTGAGGCATTTCCCCCGTTGAGATAAGAAAAACATTTTGCATAATTATTGGCACAACTTACCTATGTGACACCACATCATAATAAGGTGTACATAGGTATGCAATGTGTCAAGGAATATAGTTACCTATGAATTATAACATAATGAAATGATTACAGGTATTTCTTTGTGGTTATAGCATAAGCAACCTCATCTACACAAATTCCATCATACATGTATATTCTCCTGGGAAAACAGCTCACATTATGAAATCATATGACTGAAATTCTTTAAAAAAAAAAATGTATATTTTGGTTGTTTCTCTTTTTTTGTTTTCTCTTTTTTTCAAAAAATAAATTTACAGTTTGTGTATATTATTCTATGTTGTGTTGTGCTGTATTCTCACTTTTGAATACATAACTAAATCAAATATGCAAAATATATTTATCTAAATCATTTTAGCTGGTGTTCTTTTATTTATACAGTATTCTTAACTCTTTTTTTTGTGATTTTCTAGTTGCTTTTTATTTAGATTCATTTATCACAGATTCATATGTGAAGTAAAACATTCCTGATAGTAGAAAACCAATTTAGAATACTCTCTGCCCTAAACAGTATGCACGTAGAGCTGTTTTTTTAAAAATACCTCATATTATGTATCTATTCTCTAAGCCTACAGGTATATACATTATTTACAAGTATTATAAATGCCTATTCATATCTCTTCCAAAATTCTCATTTATAATTAATATATTCCTAGGCAAATGGTATAAATGATTGATTGAGTTATATACCCGTACTTTATTAATGATTTTTCTATTTCTGTTAAACATTGTTACTTAACTGGGTCGACTGAATACCAAAAGTTAAAATTAACAAGAGCAAAGGTAATAGACAATTAATTAAAGATGATGAAAGATGATGATTGGAAATGATATATTATCGTGTTTTAAGACAACTTAATTTTTGAAGGAACTTCAGGGGAGTGATATGTGGGAAAAAATAATTTAGCAGAATGGTTTATTTACCAGAAATATCATAATCTAGGCAGAAAAAAAAATTAAAATGGTATTGACAAATAAAAAAATGCAATTCATAAGGTAAAAAATAATTGATGGCTCGCTGGCCCTTACTTTGCTATCCCATTGAGTTGTTGAATACTGTGATACAATGTAAATACTGTAGTTTAATAATTGAACTAATGAAGAACATTCACCACTTATGGAGAGTACATTTTACCCAATGTGCCTTGATATTTTATATCTTTTATATCATTGGGAACAATTTAATGCTGAAATGTTCCAGGAAGTGTAAAGTTTTGCACATTATGTAAGGTTGATTCTACTGTACAGTATATGCTATGAACTAGTTGGGGGACCTCTTTACTAACTTTTGAAAAAAGTTGTTGTATGAGTGAACATAAACTTATAAAGAGCAAGTACTGATTTAAGCTAGTTTTATTTTATTAAATTTTATTTGATAGATAGATTAATTTTGATTTTTTTTTCTTTTTATAGGCAGCCAGAGAGTTGCAGAAAAAATTGAATTTGGATGATATGCCCAACTATTATAATTTGGTCTACAAACATATGGATTTTAACATAATGATGCAGGTAGGTCAATTACATTGATTAATTTCAAATTCAATATTTCAGTGGGATTTTCCCATACCTTCTCCTTTACCTTCTGCCTTTGTTCCTTCTTCCTCTTTTCTTTACCATCTCTTTCTACTTCTGTCTCTCCTCCCTCTTCCATTTACAATCTAAATGTCTTCTGTCCAAATTTTCAAAAATATTGTCAGCATATTTATGATGATATCATAGAATGAAAGAATGAATGAACAATGAGAGGGTGGCCATAGTTTTGAACTCTCAACCTTTATTGTGTTCCTTAGGCCTGAAGATGACCCAAAAAAGGTCAAAATGTGGCCTACTTCTCATTATTTGAAGTATGATTCATTCTGTGTTATTTAAACATAATCAGTGGATCTGTTGGTGTATGATGATATAATTATATTAGTAATCATGTATTTCAGAAAATAGAGAACGAAGAATACCAAACACTTGAGGAATTCCAAGGAGATGCTGAAACGGTTCTGCATGTAGCTGCAGTCTATCATGGCGTTGATAGTGATAAGGCTGAACTCTGTAGGATTGTCTTGGAAGACTGCAAGTACGATGTAAGTACATAGGCTGCTTATGTAAATCTTCCAATATGTCTTCCAGGGACTATTTTGTTTTAAGACATGCCTTTCTGGGGAATCCCTACACTAGTTACATAATGTAATCTAAGATAGTTGGATTTATATAGTGCTTTGTACCAAAGTCTTAAAGCGTTTGAGGTGTTGATTAAATGTTCATTGACTTGCATCATTATGTTAAAATCCATATGTTTGTAGACAAAATTATAATAGTTGGGCATATCATTCATCATCCATCTTAGGGTTTCTTCATATCTGAGCTACCCGGGAAAAACTGGAACCAGATATTCTCGTCTGTCCACAACAGGGGCTGTGTGGATCAGCTTTAATTGTCAATTTCTCACACAATTTATTGAAGAATAATAATATTCCCACCAAGTCAGTTTTGTTAAAAAAATGAAGAGTTATAACAACAATGGAAGGGACATGATTACGCAGAAATGGATTGAAACAACACATTTTTCACTTCAGTGAAATGGGACAGTTTTGAATGTAGCTTTATCTACACAAAATTGCCAGGCCTGCCAAATTTTTCATACTAAGATTATTAATATTTGTTTTGTGATGCTTTTAATTGACATTTTCAACAATATTGTTGTTCTTTTAGCTTGATGAGGTGCGTATCTGTAAGGATTGCTATGAGGCATCCAATTCAAGAAAAGATAGCATGTGGTTTTGCCGGCCTTGTGTAAGTAACAATAGTGAGCTTTTGATTTGCACAATGATATAAACGTAGAATGAATTCTTCCTACTTAGTAGCAGTTGTGCAGATGATGTGATCAACTTTTTGCCTTTTTATTGTAACAGCTATTTAACATTACAACATACGATAATGTAAATACATTATAAATATCACAAATTTATAATACAGTAAAGTAGTGGTAAGGTGCTTTGCTTGTTATGATTTTGAGGTTTCCAAATATGAAATGCATAGAATTGTTAGTGGTAGAGTTGAGGTTTTTAAGATATTTTGTTTTTCTATTTTGAATAGGATCCAGTCCATGAGGCGGTATGGGCACAGTTGAAAGGTTTTGGATACTGGCCAGCTAAAGTACTGCGGAAACAAGCTGGTCAAGTCGATGTTCGCTTCTTCGGTAGCCGTCACCAACGGTCAGTTTACCATTTAAATGTGTTATTACTCTTTTATGTGCAACAAAGGCTTATATCATTCATTTTCATGAGTCATTTAAAAAAATGTATGATTGTAAAACTTTTTTATATAATTCTCAAAGATCAGTGCTCAAGGACAATCATTAAGATCAAAATTTATTTTTTAAAAAGCGACGTTGCTATGTAAATAGTTTAGTAACAAAATTATAAATAGTTTATATTATTTATTTATTCATTTATTTATTGAACATATTTTTACAGGATGGCATAATCAGGTGGGATATAACAACCTGTTTTACATGTGGTCCTGTTTTGTGATACAAGATTACAGTATATAAAATATCAAAAAGTTGCATATTAATGAAATAGAAAAGGACTTAATTAAAAATAAAATAACAAGCTTAATCTAAATCACAGAATACTCTACACTGTATTTTAGTTAAAATACACTGAAAAAGTTAAAATTGCAAGGTGTGGTAATAAAATAATGATAAAAGCCTTAATTAAATATTAAAATAATAAAGTACAGTAAATGTAAAATTGTTTAAAAAAGAAATTAATTATTGATGAAAATAAATATATTTAAATATTAACAACTTTTTTCCCTACAATTTAATATATTACAGCAGATGGTGTACTAACATGCCAGGACATGGTTATCTGTCTTGCCTTAAATGTATGGTTGTGAAGCATTTTATGTTTTCATTTGCTATTACAGTGCCTGGATTTCTGAGGTGAATATTAAACCAATTGACACAAATGTGAAGACAATCAACGTGAAGATGACCTCATCTTGGAAAAATGCCAAGAAGGAAATGGATAACTACATGAAGAATTGTGGGATTAAGAAACCAAGGAAAAGACCTCGGGAAGAAAACAGTAGTGAAAGTGAACAATCTATTTCCAGTTCAATTAACATTCCCAACGCTGACCAGGTGACTGTAACTGCATTGACCAACATTAATCAAATTTTTATATCTTTTACCTGATCTAAAACATTATCAACACAATTTTTTGAAAATAGATTATGTTCAACTTACCACACTGGTCATTAACTGGAACAATCGAGTTGGAATAAATGATAATAGTGATAAAAAACTTCTTATTTATATTATTATTATAACAATGTTTGCTTTTTTTATGTGATGAGGATGATGAATGAGAAAGTATGTGGTTTTATGGAATAATGCGATAGAGTAAATAAAGAAGATACTGGCCAAGAGTGAAAAAAAAGACCCAAATTAACATTTATTGAAGCTTTGACCTTTTACATACACATTTAATATCCTAATTGCTAGGCCCTGAAGGCTTATAATATTGTATTCACTATGCTTGAGACTAATAAATGTTATGGTAATGTGTAAGAAATTATAGAGAACATAACAATGATTGGGTAAACTTAGGATGTATTGACTTTTGTAGGATCATGCCGTGTCAACTAGCCAAGCTTTGTCAGAGGACGAACCTCCTGCTCTAAAAAAGGTACAGTATGTACATTTATCTTATTGAATGTTTGCTTTTTGATAGTAAAGTCCTAGAGTGTAAACAGTGGCTTTATAACACTCAAACAACTTATACTATTATCTGTAATTTTTTTGCTAGAATAATATGTTTTTGATAGTACAGTGCTAGACAGTAAACAGAGTCTGTCTAACACTTAAACCTATAAGTGCTGCTTTACAAGCATTTAAAACATTTTTAATTGGTTAATATTTAAAGTGATAGAATTCTTGCAAAACATTATTAACTTATATTCAATAACATTAAGTATAATGTTTTTCAGTCTTAATTTTGGATGAGTTTTCTCAATTCCACTAATGTTGTCATTTTAGTGTCGAAATATTAATGTAGTTGAAGAACTTACACCTGTTATAAATAAGGAAAGCGGCTGTGAATGCCACGAAAAATACAGCACGATCTTCTCAGATTTTAAAGCACGCTTAGAGTTGGAGCATCAAACAAGTAAAGAAAGGGCAGTCACCTCAGCTGTTGACAAGGTATCTTTTATTTATTTTCATTTCACCCAACAGCGTAAATGCCAATAACGGGGAGAATAAATACAATACAATAACAATTTTTAAATACATACAATAAAATTGTTAAGTAATTTACTCTGTAGTTCTCTGGATGTATAAGCCCAGGATGTCATCAATTGGCTGTTGAGAGAAAGGGGGAGTGGGGGTGGGGGGATTTGGGGAGCGTGTCCCTCTCAGATAAATGTAGAGTAAGTTCAAACACTGCACATGGCCAATGAGTGTTTATATAAATAATATTGGAGACTTATAGTGTGCTATCAGCGGTTTTTCTGCATAATGCAAGAATCCACATCAAACAAAACTAGACTTGCATGCTCATATATACTCCAGCAAAATAGAAGAGTCCACATCAAACTAGATTTAAATGCTCATGTATTTTCTAGTAAAATGAAAGAGTATACATCAGATTAGACTTGTGTGCTCATGTGTTTGTCAGTAAACTTGGAAGAATTTCCATCAAAATGTGCATGAATTGATTAGGGCAATGCCAAGGACGCATTGACTTCTGAGATCTTAAGCTTTTAGTTGTAGTTCAGATTTATGTAAAAACAGATGTATGAACTGAATGTATATATGTCCTTGGAACAGAATCTACTACACTTCCGTATTAATATGATAGGTTGGGAACTTTGATTGTTGGAATTATAAAAGCTTTGCTGAGTTACAAGCTGTTGCTAAAAATGCTCCCGAGGGATTGGCAGTGGTTGTACATTGATGCATGAATGTGTGTCTCACGACAAAGCTGACTTACAAAAAGATACAACATTAAAGCATATGCACTGTTTTAGACACACAAAGATTTTAGTTATATTGTTGCACATTTACCATGTTCTTTGCATACAAATTGATGAAATTAAACTTTGAACTTTTGAACTGGGAACATTTTTCTCATAATAATAGCAGACACATAAATAATACAGTTATTATATTTTTTGCATAAACTGGTAGTAAATTAATTGTTTGACCTTTGTAACATTGAATTGCTTTAATTCCTTAAAAGTAAATATTTTTGAATACTTGTTTCTAATTTTTTTTCAAGCTTAAGAAGAAAATGGAAGAAGAGAAAAAGAAAGCTGTTTTGGCAGAACGTGAAAGCATGCAAAAAGAGTTGACGAGAATAACCGAGGAGTTCGATAGATACAAGGAAGAGACAGAGGAAGAAGCAAAATTATTGATGGAGAAGCACAGAGAGGAAATATCCAACACCAAAAAGCGCCAGTGGGTAAGGGCAATTCACTTTTTTTTTTTGGAGTCGAGTGGTGTAACTGTAAGGCAGGGTTCAGTTGGTAGAACCAAGTCTCCTTAGATAAGGACTTAATTTGAGGTCTAGTGTACAAATCTGGCCTGTGTGCACTTTAATGAAACCATTGCATCTTTCGGAAGAGTAGAGGGTATCGCGATGCTATGGTTCATTTCAGCCCCTGTTGATATGGAATGATGAGAACATAAAGCTAATATTAGCGCCTCTTTTCATGCACCACACCAATGCGCCATTCAGCACAATACGCTGAGAGTTACAGGTTATTCTCCTAACTTTACCTACATTGTGCTTTTGTGTAAAAACCTTATACATTATTCAGTCACATATTAAGAATAATTAACCCCTTGTCAAGATTAAAGTTCACACTTAAACAGTAGACTCGCCACTTTTGACACCTATTTTTGAAATTCTGAAATTTCTTGTGTAGTCACTATTTTTAATAGATTACCCATTCTAATTCATTTAAATTTTTAATTATTGTATGTGCATTATATTTTTGAATAAAGTATGAAAATCAGTAAAATCAATTTGAAATAATAATAGGACAAAATTTGGAATGTTATTCCTGAATTTCTAAAATCAGTAAATAAAATATGAGTAGAATAAAATATATAAACTTCTAAAAAATGTTTTTTTTTAAATATCTTTTTAGTGCATCAATTGTGAACAAGAGGCAATGTATCATTGTTGTTGGAACACATCATATTGCAGCATCAACTGCCAACAAGGTCACTGGCACAAGGAACACAAGAAACTCTGTCGACGCAAACGTTAACAATATCACCATACAAGAAACGTTAATATTACTACAGAAGCATTGTATATACAGCAGATTTATATAAATGTTATATAATTTTCATTCATTGACATAAATATTTCACATATTTTTGTTGTTATTTGGCACCATTTTGATTGTTGATATTTTTTTTATAGTTTAACCACCTTTCTCAGAAACTGTTTCATTATTTTAGAATATTGAGCAGCTACTGTAAGTGATAGTCTGTGCTTGTGTGTGTGTGTATATACTGACGCCGAAGAGAGTAAAAGTATTAAGTTTAACGATATTTCCATAAAGGTATATAACTGTTTGATAGAAATTTATATGAGATTATTTTATAATCAACAGTAGAGTCAAAATGTCAATTAGTGGTATTTCATTGCAGCTGATTCACATACATCTACTAATTCATAATCTTTTGGTAGATCTTTTCAGCACTATCAGTTTAACAGTGTTTTATGGTACTGTAATTTTTGTCTTATATATCTATTACTCAATATAATTGGTTTTTTTTGCTGCTGGCATCTCAAGATTTAAAAAAAAACGATTGTGGGTCTGTCCAGCTAACTTGTTTAAGGCTCTCGATAGAGAGATTTCGCACACGAACGAATACGATGATGTTACACTAACCGTATGCGTTCGCATGCGAAACTGCCCTATTACCTGAGATTTTTACCCAAAGTTCTACATTAGCTTTTAATGTTCCAGAACAAGGGCTTATGGCTTTAGCAGTATGTTTTTCATCAGTTCATAGTAGGTTTATATGTCAAGTACACTGTGCTTAGTGTAAGTTCACTACTTTTGCGTTAGTGTCCTATATCCTAAGTACAGTACTAAGTTGAATTTAATTGCATCAATTTTACTAAATTTTGTACGGCAATTTGACAAAAACATATCAACGATTACTAAGTTGAATTTAATTGCACCACTTTTACTAAATTTTGTACTGCAATTTGACAAAAACATATCAACGATTACTAAGTTGAATTTAATTGCACCACTTTTACTAAATTTTGTACTGCAATTTGACAAAAACATTATGACGATTACTAAGTTGAACTTGTATTTACTGTAAATATTCCAGAATGTGGAAACAGCTTTAGCTTCTTATGATTATCTTAAATAATGAAGTACTATCATAAAATAATGAGAACTCATAATACTCTCTACTCAGTAGTTTGAGGTGGTATAAATTGTACATTGTGTAAATTTATAAATATCTATATATTTGTCATTAGTATGTTAGCTTCTCTAGCATTGCTCCCACTTATCCTGGTTTATTCAGGAATCTAATCACTTTTAACATGGACCATCCTGGTTTTCCAGGTGTGATTTCTGTATATTATTGTCACATTTTAGAAAAAAAAAAAGTGTACATATGTAGGGATATACTGTCTTGTTTCAGCTAATAAACAATACAATTTAAATTATGAATTGCTTAACTTTTGTAAGTAAAATATTAGCTCCAATTAAAGATTAATAAGAAAACAATTGTTTTACTTGGCAATTGACAGGCACAACTAACAATCAAATAAGCCATCTTGTTGTTTTAAGTATGCATGTCATGTCAAAGGTCATGGCATAAAAAGCATTTATATTGCTTATATTATTGTCTGCATTTTTGTTCCATTATATACTTACAGTTTGTTGACATTTACTGTAAATATTAACCAATAGCGGTAGCCAATCTTTAATAACTTAATTAACTACCAAATGGGTTGGGTTAAAAAATAATTTGTGTTTGCCCAAGCCTAGTTGACCCTAATTTTTGTAATGAAAACAAAACAAACCAGAAAACAGCTCTGATTTCAAAATGTCACTATGCTTAAGCAAATACAATATTTTTTTGGCCTTATTTTTAGTATTTTTGTGTAGACCCCTAAATTGACTATTTTCTTGTATAAACGGATTTGTTTGAACATCTAATTTGACATTCATAACTCATTTTATATACTGTATGTAAATGAGCAATTCAGTGTTTTAATTAAATGTTTGTAATTAAAAAAAAAAAATTACAATATGTATCACTTACAATGTCAAAATATGAGAATGTTTCTATTTTTCCATGAATATTTTGTTAAAATCGAGTTCGAAACAAAATATTCAACAATAATTTTTGTTTTGATTTAATTTCCTTCCATTATTTTGTCTTAGGTACAATTGTCGATTTAAATTTTCTTTTTAATAGATTAGTTTTTTCTCTATAAAATGACTGGCGTGTAGTGACAACATGTTTTAAATCCTATAGATACTTAATTGTTTTTTTCTGGCTTTGGTGCCTTAGAATGTTTTTTCAAAAGAAGTGGTTAAAAACCGATGATTTAATTTTTAAGAAATTGATTTAAAAAATGATTAAGATAGCACTATTTCTTGAAGTGGTGCTTTATATGAATTTGTTATTTAGCTTTTGTTTTTTGTGTAATATACTTTTTTCTTTGGCCAGTGTATACATTGAGTGTAGAGAAGGTTTGGTTTACCATGTAGTATCACATTAGTATTCCTCAGTTCCTGAAATATTATTCACTGCAGACAAGACTCTATAGAATCCAGTTTGAACAAATTTAGAATTGAGATGTAATGGGTCAACAAGGAAATTGAATAGGTTTATGATAGATTGGAACATGTTTAAAGAGGTTACGAATTAATGAGTATAAGCATCCATTTTGAAGAGGTGAATGACCTAGATTGAGGTTGTGTATGTCCAGTTTGAACAGGTTAAGGATCCAATTTGAAGACGTTAATGACCTAGATTGAGGTTGTGTATCCAGTTTGAACAGGTTACGTTAAGGATCCAGTTTGAAGAGGTTAATGTTAGATTGAGCTTGTGTATCCAGTTTGAACAGGTTAACAATCCAGGTTTAACAGGTTAACAATCCAGGTTTAACAGGTTTATGTGCAGAAAGTAAATTCCAATTGATGTGTATGTTCACTGGCTTTAGAGTAACATTCCATGTATATAATACATAAAAATATATATTAATTTATCTAATATACGGTTAAGGCATATTCAACATTTTGATACATTTGTAAATGCATACATCTGAAACTCTAAAATAGTAGCATGAAATGTTATTATTTTATTATTTTTTAATACTGTAGTAAGAAATATGAAAAATATATTCACTAGGAGGACAATAAGACTAAATACTAACATTGATCATAGGTTAAATGAATTATACTTGTTAAGCAAGTGTTAAAAACCAGATCATCTTAAAAATCATGATTTTTGCTTTTCCTGGCTAAGGCACAATGCCATAATAATTGTAAATGATATATATACAGTGAATGCAAGCAGTATTTTCATTCTGTGAATAAATTTAAATTAGATATTGAATTTTGAAATTCCTGTCTGTTCTCTATGTGTATTTTGCTCTAAGCACCAGAAGGCTTATGCAGAGACATGAATGGTTGGGACATCTAGCCCATGTTGATGGTTTCCAGTTTATTGTACTTGCAAAAACCTTCATGCTTTTATACAGCTTAGTTTTAGTATTGTTTTTTTTTATGGTTTTGCTGGAAAAATATACAATGTAAGATAAGCCAACAAAATTAATTGCTCCGATCGGTCGGTCTGTCATTTCAAGGCCAATGGCCACTTAAAAACAATACATTTGATTTAAGAAACTTTTAACGTTTGTAATAAATATAATATATTTAAATAAGAATAACAACCACATGGATGCGTTGCCTGTTAATGTAATTTTATAAATTGTAATTGTATCTCCGGTCTGCTATAGAAAAACATATTTCCGCCCTAAAATTTTACCTTTCCCTCACTTCCCCCCCCCCCCCCCCCCCCCCCCCATTTCAGACGCTAGCGCTGCCACTAGGTTTCAAGCAAAAGATGGCTGCATAGGCCTTAGGTTTTTAATTTACCTTCGCGAGCTCAACAAAATTGGCATCAGGGTTCATGTGGGCTCACCAAATTAATAATAGCATGGGCTTTTTTTACACCACCTATGCAATCCATGATTCAATAACATCCATTTAATAGCCAGTGCCTTAAAGATGTTATCCTCTGAAAATGACAATAAAGAATAATTTTGAAATTAACTTGCTTATTTTGCAGTAACATACAAATTATAAACTTGAGCATAGAAATTATTGAAGAATACCCTGATTTTTAATCTGCATAAGCCTAATTCGGCCCAAAACCAAATATTCCCAAACCAATTTGGCCCAAACCAACACGGACCAATACCAACTCAGCCCCAGCCGACACTTCAGCCCAAAACCAACTCGGCCCTAAACCAACTCGGACTAACATGAACTCGGCCCAGACGACAACGCTACATATACTATCTGTAGTTGACTTTTATTGTCAGTTTTTGTTTTTTGTTTTGCTTTATATTCATTACAAATATGCATTATTCTGGGGTTGATTTGGATTTGGTGGGGGAACGGCCTCCCCCCCCCCACTTTTGGGAGGTAGGTAAAAAAAAGAAAAAAAGAAAGAAAAAGAAAAATAAGATAGCCCAGAATGCCTCAAATGTTATTTTCGGGCGTCCAGAACAAACATTTCGAGGGGAAATTCCCCCAGACCCCCTAGGATGTGTTGTCTCGTCGGTCCAACTTTTGCCCCCCCCCCCCCCCCCACTTTTGGACATTTTTGTGGATCCGCCCCTGTTTTTTTTTAAAGGTATTTTAAGATTCTTCTTAAAAATAATTAATGGGACTAGTAATAATTCAGATAATATAAAGAATAAGAATAGTAATAGGCCTAATGAAAAATAATATTAGGCCTATATATGATATTAATTATAATACTAAAATAATAACAATAAATGTAATAATATAATAATTATAAAATATATAATTCAGATATTATAAATATAAATACAGTAATAAGAATAGTTATACTAAAAAATAATATTAGACCTATAAATAATATTAATAATTATAATAATACTAAAATAATAATAATAGTTGTCATTTGGGTAATGGGTAATCACGATTGCTATATCATCTGGGTAATTTCGTATCATTTGGGTAGTTGTCTTCTGGGCCGAGCTGGTTTTGGGCTGAATTGGTTTAGGCCGACGGTTTTGGACCGAAGTGTCGTTTGGGGCCGTGAAAAAATAAAAGAAATCACAAAAAAATCACATCTAACAGCAGTGATTAGTAATAATAGCAAATTGTAGTAATAATAATAATAATAATAATAATAATATTAATAATACAGTAATTATTATTATTACAGTAATAAAAACACTTGGAAGTGTTTCTATAATTTTTTGCTGTAAAATTTTGAGTAAACATTTTATAAATACATTTATTTCTATGTTCAAGTTTATAAATAGTAATGTTACTTCAAAAACAAAACAAAAAAAGTTAATTTAATTTAAAAAAAAAAATTTTCATGGAAAATTCTATTAAACCATAGAGGAATTTTTTCATGAACAAGTTATATTTTTGTAAACCCCCTTTGATTTTTGTAACATTGTAGAAGCAGGGAGGTATGTCTTAGGTGTATACCTCCCTGGTAGGCGTTCTTTATTATTAAATGTATTATTGTTACCATGATCACATTACAACAAAATGGTCTGGTTGTGTGTCTGTTATTTAACCTCAACATGAATTTATCGATTTAAGTCTGGATTGGGTTGGTTAGGCTGTTCATTCATGCGCGAAGCATCTCTGTAGGTTTTGTTTATCTCTGTGGTGTATTTTATACAAGTCTTGTATTTATTAATAAATTATGGCTAAAGTTGTAGAATGTGTGCCAAATTTCTCGGAAGGACAAAACAAGGAGGTAAAGATATTTTAACTTGAGTGCTTTATACTTAAGATCAGGCCTGGTAACCCTGGATCTAATCATGCAGGCTAGGCTTGTACGAGAATAACCAGCCAGGAGATGCTAGGGCAATGCAGTTGAATATGATTTGCAGACGACGACGTCAGTAGGCCTAAACACATGGAATCGCCTACTGTTGTTTACATCATGACCAGCACTAGATGACTACCACACAGGTGGCGTGAGATGTGTTTTATGTTTTAAATTGTACTGTAGTTCTCAATCTTTGTAAAAATCAACATGATGAGCTGGTAGGAAGACAACAACAATATCAATAGGCCTGTCTGTGGCTGTGTGAGTAGTGTATGCATGTTTTGGGGTATTTCGTCTGTGGGGTGTCCACCTATCGATTGGTTGGAGCATTCCTACCAACTCTATAACCAGGGCATTCCTTCCCACTGGCCTTCTTGGTATCCCCACCCACTGGCCAGGGCATCTCCATACATGCCAACATTTTGGTATATTAAAAAACAGGTCCTTGGTCTGTTAGGGTTCCCCCATTACATGAGGGTCCATGGGGTACCCCTTTAAACTTTAGCTATAATGGCTACGTTCAGACTTGGAGATAAGCCAGGCTTGGGTTAAGCCCGGCTCAACGCAAAGCCCGGCTTAACTTTGGCAGGCGTTCAGACTAGCGGGATTTCCAATTTTCATAATAATGAACTGTAACTATTTTCCAGTGGAGGGTTCACCCTCCAATTCAAAAAGGTTTTGGAGGAAAAAAGGAAAATTGTAATCAAATTCAATCTGAGAGTGCCATTTCCATCCATCTATGGATGCCGTAATCATAAAATTTCTTACCTCAGCCCCAACCATGGTGGGGCTTAGGTGGATGGATCCTCTATCTGTGAAAAACTCTCAGTTGGGCCCCTCTATTACCAATTCCTGTATCCGCCACTGGTTTCTAAAAAGGGAGATCAATAGTAAACAATAATCGCTGTAATACTATGTCAAATAGTCAATTTTAAAAACATAGCATCACATTTTTTGTGTGCAATTTACTATGACATTTAATATACAATGGGTCGCGGCTTGTCTGGGAAATCGCAAATTGGGTCTCATAGAAAAATGCTTTGGAAGCGGAGTTGTAGTTTTGCCGAGCAAAATATTGAAAGATTTTAACCTAATAATGTTGGTTTTTTTCGTAGTATTTTATTGCAGAAAAAACAATACAATTACGATTTAGTATGCGTAGGTGCAATTTTCTTTATAAACCTGGAGAGTGTGTGAGAAAACGTAAAAAAAAAATTGGACGGGAGTCAGGTCACCAAACCGGGAGTGTTGGCATGTATGCATCCCCAGCTAGTGGCCCCCAACTGCTTGCCTGCGAGAGTACTCGAGGCCAACCCGATTACTGGGAAACTCGCGTGAGTTCTGGCAGACTTGGGACCCCTGCAGTATTGGCAGTTGGGAAATCCCAGCCCCATTGTTTTACCTTTATTGACTGGTTTGTTTCTCTCCAAAAATAATCAGAATAAATTAAAGTAAAATGTTAAAATAAATTTGCAATTCAATGGAAAGGCAGAAACAGATTGGAAGGTTAGTAATTTATACCTCATTTAATTTTTAGGTTGTTGAGGCCCTGGCAAATGCAGTTATGCAGACTGACGGTTGTCGTCTACTGGATGTTGACCCAGGCCCGTCAACGAACCGCACAGTGTTTACTTTTGTTGGTTCACCTGATGATGTTGTTGAAGGGGCACTTAACATGTCTAGGGTTGCATTCTCGCTGATAGACATGACCCGGCATAAAGGTAGCTTTTCAATTTTTCTTTATTTACATATCAGTTACAATGGATCTTTTATAAAGTGCAGGTTTAAACCAGGATTCCTTAAGAAGTGGGGCATACATAGATGACTTGGTTGTCCACGAGGCAAGAGCTTATAAACACATTTGTGTCCCATGCTCCCATTAACACTGCTTTTCCAATAATAATCTATAATTTTAGTGTCTCTACACAATCTCATTATCACACATATTCATTGAATTTTTAAAGTGTGGAAATCAAATACACATTTATTTTAAATTAATTTCATATTAAAATTAATGGAAATCTTAACCTTAAACTCTATTCAATATACATAGGCAGTTTTACAGATGGAGGGTCTAAGAGGGTAGGACAATTTATGTCTATGGCATTTCTAGATGGCAGGAATTTCACACTTTAATTTTTATATATTGTTATTTTTTTTATTATTTAATACAAAAATTTAGGATGTGGTAGGTGTGGGGTGCCGGGCCAGCTAGGCTCCCCTTGAATACATCTATGAGAAAGCACATTTTTACTTTTCATATTTATTTTCAAAATACAGTAGTTAACATATGATATAATATCATTGTTTTTAAATTTTTTAAGGAGAGCATCCTAGGATGGGTGCATTGGATGTGTGTCCATTTGTGCCTGTAGCAAACGTTACAATGGAAGAATGTAGTGAGTGTGCTAACAAGTTTGGTAGCCGCTTGGCAGAGGAGCTGAACGTACCAGGTAGGTTGATTAACATTTATGATTGTCTTGAACCAACCAGATTACAATTTCATGGAACTCATCAGCAAATTCTTAAAAAACAATATCGTATGGCACATTAAACGTAGACAGACATAGGCTTAGACATATAAAATTGTCACATAAAAATTTGGTTCCTTGTTAGAGTAACATAAAAAAATAGAATACATCTAAAAAAAAAAACCAAAGTCAAAAAAATACAATATGTATGAACATTAAAATTTAAAAAAAAATTAATTTAAATTTATTATTTATTTATTGCAATTTATGTCATTTTAAAAAAGATTAAGATTTGAATTATTTATTTATAAATTAATTTTTATTGCAGTTAATGTCATCACTAAAGTATAAAAATATAAAATTAATAGTATCAAATAGCATTTTGAAAAAAATGTAATATTTTATAATTGATGTACTGTACAGTAAAAAAATAAACTACATACATGGCACCAGTAGTGTAGGCTGAGGATTAATTGAAGGGGTGTTAGCTTGGAAACGAGCCAATGCACTGACATTTACTGCAGCATGGGACTGTTAAACACCAAATAAAAGAAAAGTTTGTCACAAAAATGGGAGGACCTAAATAAGTACTGGTGTCAGTTGTTGTGAATACTATATTTTTTCATAAATGTTTAGTAACCCTACAATATTGTAGTGGCCTTAGTTTGGGTCATGGCCAATAGTTTGAATACCAGACCTCTAAGCCAATGGGTTACTATACCATGAGAATCAAATGATGCAGAACCCCAAGTTTGCTTTTACTTGTACTTTTGTAGGCTAATCTGGCTTAATGTAGAGTAAAGCTCAGGGTCAATAATATTGTAAGGTTCTTATTCAATTGAACAATAGCTGGAAATAAATCATTTATGGTGGTTTGGAAATCTTTAAAAATGCTCTTATATTGTTTATTATTACTGTATTTGGAATATTATATTTTCATTTGTAATTTTAGTTTATCTGTACGGCCACGCTGCAGTCAATGATGCTCGATTCAAGTTACCCGACATCCGTACTGGTGAATATGAGGCATTGCCAGAAAAGGTACAGTGTGTAAACTCTCAGTATAGACATTTTCTAATGTCTGGACATCTTAATGTGATGGTCCTCAAACTATGCTCAAAACATTTTGAGAAGGCCACAAAGTCGGCCAAGAGAAAAAAAGATATTGAAAATTCATTGATATAGTGAACAATTTTGTCATTAATAGAACAGGTAATGATGTAAATTATTATATATCATAAGAACATGGAGGTAATTTTCATGATCAGAACTTCATGCCAAGTTTCGGTCTGGCATGGCTGGACCGAGGTTTGGTGCCTAGAATCTCAAGTAAGTTGTAAAGTAAAAAGTTGGCGGAACTCTTAAAGTTACCAGTCAAGACTCCCAGCACACCCATCCAACAAATATAAATACTACAGAAGGAAAAAAATCACACCAATAGCTATTGGTGGTTGTGATTTGCTATGGTAGTGTTCCTTTAAATGTGCCCTTTTTTTATTTTGATTTTGTTCTTATTTTAAGACATGAAATATCTTTGGTGATATAATGCCATATTTATATGGGAGTTTTATTCATGGTAAGAGGTCAATCATGTAGTTTTCTCCCTCAGCTTCAGCAGGACAAATGGAAGCCTGACTATGGACCAGCCGCATTTGTACCATCCTGGGGCGCTACGGCAACAGGGTCCCGTACATTTCTGATAGCGTTCAATGTGAATATCTTAGGAACAAAGGAACAGGCTCACAGAATTGCTCTTAATCTGCGAACACAAGGACGAGGCAAAGACCAGGTAAGATCAGATACACAGTGTTTTCATATATTTTTCAAATAAATTTTTCAGCTGAGGTTAGTATGCACAGTTTTTTTAGATACATTTAAATCAGAGATAAATTGAGCAAAACTATTAACTTACCCTTCCTTTCTTATACTAAGTTTGGGGACATAATGTTGATGAAAATGTTATTTGAAAACTCTTGTTTTCTTTAACCAATTTCTGGCTTTATACAAGTATCCAGGAATGTTATAAATAATGCAATTATTTCAAATTTTAATTTATTGAATATAAGGTGTCACTAGAAGAATTTGCTTAATCAAAGAGGTTACTAGTAATACAACAATTCATTCAATAGTAATGATAATGGAAATATCATGTGCAAGCCTCTTCTGTTTTATCTTGAAGCCTGGAAGACTGCAACAGGTGCAGGGAATCGGATGGTGGTTGGAGGAGGCTAACATGGCACAAGTTTCCTTCAATCTAACTGACCCAGATGTAACTTCAATGCATGTTGCGTATGAAGAGTGTCTTAAAGATGCTAAGGTAAACCTCAACCCTGCATACCTTCTTCACTAGGATGTAATTGGCCATTTAAGGTTTGACTGCTAGTTCACCCAGGTCACTTTTTTTAGGGTTTTCAATATTTGAAAACTCAAAATATGCATTTATGACAGACCTAAGTCAGAGGTCGTGGCATTTGATTGGGACCCTTGTAATTGAGAGAGCAACATGTAACTGTGTCATGTAACTAGTGACGTCATTACGTCCTACCGTGTTGTGTATCTAGTAACGACATTACGTCCTACCGCGTCGTGAAACTAGTGACGTCATTACGAATGTTCTCTATTATATTGTGGTGTACTGCCCAATCCGCCACCTAAAGAACCCCGCAATCCAATCCAGTCCAAGCCAATCCAAGTAATGTTTGATCCAGTTTGTTCTTGGTATTTCAGGAGGTGAACGTTGGAGTTTGTGGATCCCAGGTCGTTGGCATTATTCCCCTGAAGGCCATTCTGTCCGCCGCTGAGTATTACATTCAGAGGGACAACCTGTTCATCTTGGAGGAGAGCCAGAAAGTTAGATTGGTAAAAATATATCCCAGCAGTTATTTTTACATATAATAATGTGATACATGGCTTTTATATTAGTATTTGATATTTATACCTATTATAATAATCTTTACCACTCATTTAAACTAACATAATCTCCTTATAATGTGAGTCATAGGGGTAAAAGGAATAATAACAAAATTCAACAACAATGATAATGACATGATAATGACAATGATAGTGACAGACAGTGATAAGGATATCTCGTTGTCTTTCTTCTTTAAACTAAGGGTTGACTTGATGATGATGATGAAAAAGATGATTTGAATGGTAATGGTTATAATTGAAATTATCAGTTATCATATTTTGACCATCTTCATGTAGATTGTAAAGTTTTGTATAGCAACAAAAACCAATACTTGCATCTGTGTTGTAAACTGTTGATTTCAGGCAATAAACCGACTTGGCCTCAGCTCTGTTTCACAATTTAACCCAAAAGATCGAATAATTGAGTAAGCCATTACAGTATTATCATTTCCTTTTTTGTCTTAAGAAAAAAAATATCATTCATCTCAATTGTAGACTTAAATTTTTAATAGGGTCGCCATACATGAGTAAAAACAGTTTGGCTTTTGGAAAAAAGTACTGTAATATTATATGAAAGTAAAATAGTAAAAACTAAATTGATGCATGCCATCCCAAACCAACATCTGTAGTAAAAAATATGATATATCTATATTCTCCACAATATAAGCCCAAATTATGTGTAAAAAGGTATTATGGCTTCTAAGTATACAGTTCTGTCACATTCTACTATCTAATTACTCAGTTTAACATATTGCTGTTTTGGAATGGCATGCCTCAAATTTTTACTGCACTCTAAACAACCATGAGGGCAGCACATCTGTTAGCATTGCTTTAGAATGGCACTCCATTGATCGTACTTGTACTGTTTCAGCTTCAGTCCATATTTTCATTACTGTATTCACTTAATACTAATTAAAGTAATATATTAATGTTTACAGTTAGGAAAATCTAAATCATCAAGAGAATGCAATATAATAATATTGAACCTATTAACTATGCCATAATGTCTGTCATTTCTTTCAATAATATATAAGTTTTAATCTATAAGTACCATTCTAACCTAATCTAATTTGTATTTATAAGCATAATCCAATAGTATTTGAACACTTTTTTACTATCCAATATTTTCTATTACACCGGTGTTGCCAATATTACTTTAGAAGACTTATAGGATTATTTTGATTTATAATTCAGGTATATGATAGAAGATGAGAGTGAAGCAAACACATTAACATCGTTAAGTCTCAGGTCGTTCATCCGTAACATCGGAGCACGTACACCAACACCAGGTGGAGGATCAGCATCGGCAGCTATTGGAGCAATGGTAATCTTTAGATCTTCTTGTACTGTTACATCTGTATTTCTACGTACGCTTATTCAAAGTCTACGGACACAATGCAGAACAGAAGTACTAAAAAAAAACGTCAGGAAAACGCATCATCAAATGTTATCAGGCCATTGAATATCAATCCATATTTCAGAGTAATTGAGGGAAAAATAATGACTTTTACCATACTTTTTCTCTATTAGCTGTTCATGACAATAGCATACCACTTTAACCCTTTAGTTTCTTTTAATTAACCTTGTTTCTTTATACAAATGTCCTATAAAAGTGGCTCACTAGCTTCTTTCTGGGAGATGTTTAGGATGGTTAATTTGTGCTTTAGACAACAATATCAAGAAAATGCTACCACAATAACTGTAGTTGGATTCAACATTCTTGTTGATGTGTATTTGTATTGCTAATCTATGCTGTAATAATTGGGAAGGAAGTGATAACTGATTAATGATTTTTTTCTTGGTACTACTTTAGGGGGCAGCATTGTGTACGATGGTTGGCTGGATGACATATGGAAATAAAAAATTCATGGCTTTGGATGGCACAATGAGGAAGTTGATTCCTCCTCTGTATGAAGCCATGAATGCCCTCATTCCACTGGTAGATGCAGATGCTGATGCTTTTAATGCATTTATGGTATGGATTTATAAGAAAGTATAAAACATACTCCAAGTATTGAAATATACACCATCGTGTTGGGATTCAATATTTCAACATTAATTATGTCATCATCAGGAATGGTGGATTTATCATTAACATGTTTATTTATTCTTCTTCATCTATCGGCAAGTGACTAGCTACAATACAGGATGGAACTGTTTGCTGTTTAAACTGTCTCTTAGTGGGCCTTAGAGAGTGGAGTTTTTAGTTATAAGACAAAAAATCTTTTTGTTACAGGTTTTGAACCCAGGATCACTAGGATTGGAAAGCAAGCTTTTTAACCACCATTATTATTTCATCTATATTTACATTTCCTTCATTATCATCATCATCTTGAACAACATCATCATCAGCAACATCAACATAATCTTTATCACCACCACCATCATCCTCATCATCATTCACTGTATAAGCATCATGTCATCATCAGGTTTGTGATCAAAGGGCTGATCAAGGATTTTAGAGGGATTTGAGTTACTATTTTGCAATTTATTTTAATAGTGACATTTACAAAATGAAGGAGGCAAAGCCTCTGGCCCTAAATCTACCACTGTCATCAGTACCTTATTTGTCATTACAAAATCATACTAACTGATGTAAAATGATGGTATCTTAATCTTCTAAAATATTTAAAAAAAAAAAAAAAACTGTTGTCATTTTTTTTCAGAGTGCCATGAAACTACCAAAAACATCTGATGAAGATAAAGAAAAGTGAGTATGTTTTTGTACATTTATAAAACAGGTCAAAATAATTTCCATCATTTTCTGTGTATACAGAAAAAGATTTTGAAGTAGTATACGTTGATATTTAAAAATTAAGGATGTTGTAGTACTATATTTTCCAGAACAAATATTTAGATAATATTTTATATTCTTGATAAGAAGTTTAATGTGAGCTGGAGCGGATGCAGGATTTGGCGGTAGGGGGCTCGTGGGAGTTCACACCACCTCAGTCTTGCCATGGTTGGGGCTGAGGCGAGAAAAGTTTGAGAATATTGACCTCTAAGTTCCCAAAAATTGGACTCTCATACCCTAAATATCTTAACAGTCAAGTACTACAGTATGTTGATATCAACAATTCAATTATTTTTTTAATAGGCATACAATTTAGGGGGGAGGAGGTGTGTGATTGCACCGTCTGCATCTGCCCCAGATGAGGATTCTCTTCGGCAGTATATAGCTTTATTCATTTTTTTTTTCTTATACTAGACGTGATATAGCACTCCTCTCCACAACTAAGGCATCCATAGCTGTACCAATGCATACTGCAATCACAGCTAACAAGTGTTGGGAGCCCATGAAGGAGCTAGCCGTCCATGGCAATGTCCAGTGTATCTCAGATTTACAGGTGAATTTTATCTCAGTTTTTGTGTGTACAGCCTCATTTGGGGCTGTAGACACTTCGCTATCGTATCACTTGTAAGTTGTAAAAGTAAATCCTGTTGGAGGAATGATGGGAAGAGTCATAAGCTGATAAAAAAGAACAGTCTTCCAACCAAAACTTACGAAATATGATGCCCATGCCTAGATAAGACCTGTCCTAGAAAGAACTAAAAAGTCATCTCTGTTAATTGTACACTTACTGTTTAGAAGTGAATTGCCAACCCAGAAATTGTGGATGGGTTATGACTTAAAAGTAGCCACAAAAAACCTATGTCAAGCTGTAGACACACTCTCCTGCTGGGAGGCTATTTCTAGTGAGTGTTGACTTCTGTTTATTTACAGACAAATAGATTTATAGCATACTTTTTTATGTTTTTTTTTAAATTTTCTTTTTTGCAGGTTGGGGCTCGAGCTTTGGAGACAGCCGTGTGGGGTGCCTATTACAACGTGATGATAAATCTACCAAATATGACAGATGACGCCTTCAAAACTAAAGCCAAAAGCGACATCGACGAGGCCTTAAAGCAAGCCCAAGACGGCGCTGCAGCAGTTCTAAAAATAATTGATGATCGTGTTAACAAAGGATAATGTGTCATTGTCACCTTGTAAACCTATCTGAATAGAATATATCAGAGAGTAATATTTTTAGGAATATGTGGGTGTGTGTTTGTGTGTGTGTTAGAATTGTACATGGAAAATTATTTTCAACATATATTTATGTTACTTTTGCGAAACACACATCACACTTTACCAACTTGACTGTGGTTACTTAAAAGTTGCCATGTGTAATAATGCACAAAACGTTTGTTGTTATGGGATAAATTGCACTTTTGTGAACTTCCTATTATAACTTTTTTTCTAAACTTTATCATCTTTTAGGATGATGTAAAATTGTTGAGTATGATTATCAAATTTAAGTTAACATGATATACTCAATTTGTATTGCTTTAGCACTAGGTACTAGTGGCCAAATAATTGCAATGATTTGTTTTGAGCTATTATATTGTTTAGTACTTATGTGTAATATTTGCTAGAAATACAGTACTTGAGCTTGCCCAGTTTTCCTTGTTTGTATATAGTACTTCAAATCAATAATAATTGAGGAACATCTAGAGACAAGAGTACTTGAGACAATAAAGTATTACTTTTATGGTAACAAAATCATATGCTCTTCATTTCAGAGATACATCTATTATTATTTCTGTATATGTGTACAGTACTAGCTAGAAATACAACTGTACTTCAGCCTTAGTCAAGCTTTCTCAAATTGCAATTACACATAGTGTTTTAATCCTCTTTAAATGTCTGTAAATTTTAAGCTGTTATTTTTCGAGCGATTTGATGCAAGTCATTCCATACAGTACAGTACATATCCAAGTGATGAGGTCAAGTGTTGTGACGAGTTCAAGTAATGTGATAAGTTCTAGGTCATGTCATGTGATTACGTCCTGTGATGAGATCATGTGTTGAGATGTTAGCCCATGGTAATCCTGTGATAAAACCATCATTGGCTGTTCATTTTAGAGATTCTTTATAGAACAATTATATAATTAATTATGAGTTTTAAATTATATTCTTTTACAATATTTGACTTAGATTTGTGATTTTAAAACAATTGTGTGCTTCATTCAGAACTTTTCTGAATGAAGGATTGTACTAATAAATAAATCAATAAATAAATGAAGGACATGAATTCTTAGACATTACACTTAAGGAAGTGACATTTTGGGAACATTAATCATTACTTTAAAATTGACTAAGAATCAGTGGATTTGCTAACAGTAGATATGTGCTAGAGTGTACCATTCTCACATGTTATATGAAATGATAGCTTGATAAAATTAGGCCTATATTGTTGATTGCATCTTCAAATAAAATCTGTGACGAATTTCAGACTGTCCTTTTAATTATTCGTTTACAAATTAGTTTGCCTTCTGTAGGTATGCAGCTATCCTGCACAAGCTGGGCGTCCATCCATGCTTGAATACATTGAATATGGGGGAATGAATGGGAAAGAGGGAAGCTCCAGTTGAGCGCTGCCTGCCAGAGGCGATCCAACGGGGAGGTGTCAAGCCGAAAAATAAAAAAGGGGAGAAAAATTTTAGTTAAAGAGGGGAAGGGAGTGCACCCATGAGTTCAGTGGCAATCTAGCAGTGGGGAGAGCTTGATTGTTTACCACTTATTTACACCAACCAGGGAGTTGTTATTAACAACTCCCTGCACCAACCATGGTGGGGCGGAGGTGGGCGTGGCGGCGTGAACTCCACATTATGCCTCCCCCCTCCCCCGTCAGAAAATCTCTGGATCCGCCCCTGGCCTACGGCCCTGGTGGGTTTCTGAGGAAGAGCTCTGGTATTCTAGCCTTTTATAAGTTGTATTTAATTGATTTTAAAGATAAGATTACCGTACTCACGCGAATAAGCGCTCCGTTTGAATAAGCACCCCTCTCGAATAACCACACCTCCTAACATGAAAATTTCCTTAAGCGCCCCGTTTGAATAAGCGCCCCTTTTAATTTGAATAAGATTTTCTTTTTAGCAAGTTAATAATCCAATTAATCCTGGGACTGTGGTTGTTGGCATGATTCGCACTGTAGAGTGGAAACACATTCTTCTTCGGTCAATATCATAATGAGGATATTTCTCTTGGACAGATGAGAGCTCCGATCCTTGGACAGACAGTATAATTCCAACTTTACTCTTTTTACATATTTGTCTATGCCTAGTCCTACTCCTCTTTTTCTTTTTCCGACCTTTAGCACATTCTCATCTGAGAAAGAAAGAATACAATGATCCTGCTAATTTCAATCGGCCGATGGCCAACAAGCTAACCACCCACCACCCACCACCACTACTATGCATCTGCTATTTTGCTGTTATGTAAATATTCACACATTCTTGTCATGAGCCATGTTCTCTGGATGACCATCTTTTCTAACCACCATTCGTAATGTCCTTATATGAAAGTGCCTCTTGAATTTAATAATTTCCCATAAGAACCTCTCGATTTTCATCTATTTCCATAAGCGCCCCCTCAATTTCCACTCTATTCTCATAAGCGCCCCGTTTGAATAAGCGCCCCTCAGAAAGTGCAGAAAATATTTTAAGCGCTACGCTTATTCGCGCGAGTACGGTATTTACAATTAAATTATTTTCACACTACTATTTCAGCATATTCATAGAAAGTGTCAATTTATCCCGTAATCTTGAATCACAAGCCCACTTATATTTTGTGCAGAATATAACATTCATACAAATAATAATTACCTTATTTATCTATTGATTAGCTCATGTTATCGAATGAGATTATTTGACAGTCATTCATAATCGTTGTTCTTTCCGCTCGCTTTCAAAAGTTAGGATTTAACTATAGAAAAATGGGGAATAGTGGGGACAATTGCTATGTGTTCCCCTGTCCTTCATCGATTGACGCCCATGGCCCCGCATGTGCGTGTGCAATATTATTAATATAGTATTTTTACTTCCATATTATAAATTATAAATGCTTATACATATATGAATGCGCTGCAATCTACAGCATTTGTTTGTCCAATATACAATAGAATACATTAGAAAATTGCTCTCTTAGAATGCTACAGATTCTAAGAGACAACATCAAGACAACACAAAAACATCATTACTGGAAAAGAACTATATATTAAATATAAATTACAATTATGGTCATTGGTATATATAAAATGTTAATAGGCATAAGACATAAAAAACCAGAAACTGCAAGCCGGAAATCTATTCAAAGAATATTATAAGAAAATTAATGGAACAGAAATCCAGAATAAAAAAAAAGCAATGTAACAAATACTCCGATCTGAGATTTCACTTACATAACTGTAAACCATTTTTGTTTTTAAAATGAAACATGTATATATGATAAATCATGTATGAATATATATATATATAATACTATTTCATAGCCGTCGGAAGCTTTTTGCAAGTGGTCCCGCCATTGTAAGAGCGGGATGGGGGAAGAGTCCACACCTCAGCCCCACAATGGTTGGGCTGAGTTTGAGGAAAAATTTGAGGAAATAGTATACCTCCAGATGGCAGAAAATGACACTCTTTAGTAAAATTCATCATCATCACCATTGTAGTCAAAATGAAGCGCCAACAAATTTTTCATGAACTTTTATCATCGATTCGGCAACCATAGAATCTTTAGTAGGCCTATGTGTGATGAGACATAGAACTTAAAAACATTGTTTTTGGTTGATTTACTTTACTTTAACACTTCAATAACATGTAAGTCCACACCCATCTTATCCCCACCATGGTTGGGGCTGAGGTGCGAAAATTGTGGAAAATAGTACCTCTCATGGCCGGAAATGTCACATTTATATAGTAACATTCGTCATCGTCACATCACCATTATAGTAAAAATGAAGCGCCAACAAATTTCTCATAATCTTTGTGTGTGTGTGTGTGTGTGCGTGTGTGTGGCATAGGCGTAGATCCCGGGTGGGGGATGGGGGATATATCCCCCCAATATTTGACAAGGGGGATGGTCCATTGTATCACCCCCCCCCCCAATATTTTGACTATGTATGGGATAAAATGGAGCTTTACACACTTCAAAAGACTGTCACAGAAATAATTTGCACTGTCTTATGCCCTTACAAAGATGAAAATTAGCATAATGTATTAATGTTGATACAAAATTATTTTATCTGGTACCAATCAAAGCTCTTTCTTTCCTTAGATGTTAGATGTGCTTGCAAAGAGAGCCATATTTCACACTGAAGGGTGTGTACGACATCAGTAATGTTATGTCAATTCCAAGAATGTTTAAGGTTATATCGGTTGATGAGGAATTTATTGATTAGGCCTATAGCAAATTGCATCAATTTATTTTGCAAAAACAAGGTTTCCAGCTTCAGAGGGGGCACATCCCCTGTTCGCACAAGGGCACACATTGGCGCCAACACCAGGCGCGTAACAGGGGTCTTGGGTCAGAGTGGGTTTATTTTCCCGGTTAGTAATTTACCATACCCACCCACCCACTCCCCATATAGAAAACAATACGACATAGGGCTTATCTTATTTATAATATAGGCCACACACGTGTGTTTGAAACTAAATATAAGCATTTTCATCATGGTTTTATTTATTACAAACATATTCTTTCACCATCAATACACATTGAGGTTTTTAGGTTAAAACGATCTATCTTAATTTTGTCTTCCTTGAGTTTGGGACTATTAGGTGTTTAAATAACTTAAAAGGATAAACCTAAAAAAAGCCCTAAAAAATGCGCGCGAAACGCGCAAAATATTTTTGTGTTTTTAATTCTAATTTCGTCGGAATTCATGAAAACTCCCTAAAATGTGCAATTTATAGAGAAAATTGGCCTACCGTAACAAGAAATGCGCGCAAAGAATTTGAGGCACTTTCAGAGGATGCATTTGTCAAGGGGTGGGTGAAAGATTTTCCAAAGATGGATATTTTCCCCTTGTCCCCGGTGTTTTTAATTCTCATTTCGTTGGAATTGATCAAAATTTCCTAAAATGTGCAATTTTTAGAGGAAATTGGCCCATGTTAGCAAGAAATGCGCGCCAAGCGCGCGAAATTTGAGGTTTTTAGGCACTTTCAGGGGATGAAAAGGGCATTTATAAAGGGGTGGGGAAGATTTTTCAAAGATAGATATTTTCCCCTTGTCCCCCAGTGGTTACGCCATCGGGCAGCATAGATCAAAGGAGTTATGACAGTTTTTGAAATGGAGAAGGG